TATCCCTCTCTATGACATGTTCTGCCTCTAGGAATGCTTCCGTGTATAAATAAAATATAACACGGTATCGATCAATCCGACATTAACTGCTAATCAATTCACCGAAAACTGATTTTTAAGTGATTACACTAAAAACGTTTACACCGGCGCTGCTGCAATAGCTGTTTATGTCTTAACTCGATCGCTAACAGCTTCTTTATGTCTGTCTTAGTGTGGTAATTCGGATATTCGTAAGCATCAGCACGGCCTACTACTGACCGCAAACCATATGCCACACTATTACAAATGCAACTCTGGAACCAACAAGACTGCCTTCATTGCTCATTCTGACGATGAAAGCTATTTTAGTGGATTGTGCAGTGCTAGCATTCATTCTGTCGGCAGGTGGCAGAATGGTTAAGGAACCCAATGTGAAGGCACCATATACAAATTTCTAGGGCACTACTTTTTTGGTCAGTTGTCTGAATTCATTAGCAAATATATACAGCAAATGCATGTTGCTAAAAGTGTAATGAAATCACAGGTTGCTCTGGGTAAAAGAGTCCTTTAGGCAAAAGATCATTTTTTTCAATTATGTTAGCTGGCTCTGTCATGAAGAAATTTTAACAGTTGTGCAAGAGGCCCAGGACTTCAAATAAGAACATGTGCACCCAAGTAGTACAACTGAAGTGATGTTTTTTCCCATTTACTGTATGTGCAGTAGGTTTTAATAATGCCTGTGCTTTATGTCTCAGATCAATCACCACCTCATACTACCGCAACTCAGTAGGTGGCCTGCTGGTCTTTGACCTGACCAATCGGAAGACCTTTGACCATGTACGGGAGTGGCACCGCGAGGTCACTGAACATGTGCTGCCCTATCACATGGTCTATATTCTGATTGGCCACAAGAGCGACCTGGAGCATGATCGCAAGGTGTCCCGTGAGGAGGCAGAGCAGCTGGCGGCTGACCTCGGAATACGCTACGTGGAAACATCAGCCAAGCGCAACACCAACGTGGAGCGTGCTTTCCAGCTGCTCACACGTGACATCTACGAGCTGATGAAGATGGGCGAGATCGACGCCCGTGACGGCTGGGAGGGTGTGAAGGCCGGGCTCAGCAACAAGGTGCTTTATCCGGCTGAGGAGGAGGCTGAGAGGGAGCGAAGCTGCCGCTGCTGACTGCTCCCTCACCCTTGCTTTATGCAGAAACGCACACAGGCACATGCACACACAAGCATTCACACCAGTACTCAACTATCTGTCCTGCTGTGGGACTCATCTGCCGTCCTCTCCTGTCCGCCTCGAACGGGCTCATGTCTGATCTGTTATGTGACCTCATCATCCTGGGCCCCTGGCTCATGTCTGACCTGTTATGTGACCTCATCATCCTGGGCCCCTGGCTCATGTCTGACCTGTTATGTGACCTCATCAACCTGGGCCCCTGGCTCATGTCTGACCCGTTATGTGACCTCATCAACCTGGGCCTCCTGGCCCATGTGCATACAGGAGGGCCCTGCCAGCAAGGAAGCCTTAGGCCTGGCTGAACTAAGCAACCCTCTGACATATCTCTTCAGGAGTACAGCCGGGCTAAATGTTTGTTTTTCAACAATTGGAAGTTTCCATCGACCCATCTGGATCCATGACATCATGCCTGTTTGCCCTGCATAGGTACATTTTTACAGTTCCGGATCATTCTGTCCTATTCCATTTGCAGGACTCACACTACTGGGGATGTCATTGTGGATATTTCATTATTTGTAAATGACAAAAAGAAGTAACACCTGTCTCCATGACAGAAAATATGGGATGGTGGAACCTGATGGTAATGTGATGAATGGATTATGCCAAATGGCAGTTCATGTAGGCTTTTTGTTCACTCTTGTGGTAGAAAGCCATTACTGCTAGTTTGACCTACATAAAATAAAAGGACTAAATTGTTGGTTTCTATTTATGACCACAAACATACAGATGTAAAATTTTGTATAATAAAGAATGATTCAATGTTTTAAAATTACTGGTAAATCAATAAGTGTACTTAGTGACATTATCATCACTCAAACAACTTGGCAGCAGAGTGAAAATGTTTATCATTAGAGTTATCAGTATTATTATTGAGAACCACTTCTCTGGGAGACTTGGTGCTTGATCCATGGCAAAAGCTTTAATGTCATAAAAAGAAATGTAACAGTGTCCTTTATTGGATTAAATTGACTGTTTTTATTGACTTGGGTAAGGGACACCTAACTGCAGCACTGGCACTGCACTTGTCACACCAGTGATTAAATTGACTGTTCTTATTGACTGGCGTAAGAGAGACCTAACTGCAGCACTGGCACTGCACCTGTGACACCACTGAGCACCCTGTGTGTCTTTACCTTCAGGAGGTGAGTCTGCATCATTTCGCCAGGATGCAGAGATTAGAGCCGCATGTGATTAATGTACAAAATTCAATCAGTGTAATGTCACTTTGTGAGCGGTAATGTCACTTTGTGAGCGGTATGACTTGTTTTGTGCATTGATTTCTGTACTTTGTACTGTACTTTGAGATGTGGTGATTAAAATAAACAATATTTATGTTAGCTTACAGTTACCTTGTTTGATAGTTGCAGGGACAGGTGATTTTCATGTGTGCAAGTACAGCTACTCTTTCACATTCGCAAGGGTTTGGACAGAAGTTCCCCTTGAATGTGAAAATTCATGAAAAATACTTGAACTTCAACCACAACCGACAACCGTCTGCTAGCCTGAGTGATACCATAAAAAGTCTATTATTTACCAATTTCTAAACAAACCGTACACTTTGCATGTGAAACTGCTTTGTCATTTCCAGTCTAGACCTTTTTATATAATATACAAACCATCTAAATTATTCCCCTGTATTTAGAAAATGTCTACTGTACACACTGGAAGCATTAGGATACGTTGAGGACCCATTATTAAAAATGCAAAATTAACAGCATTGAAAAGTTGAAAAGTTACTGCGAGTAAATGTGCCCATCCGTGGTTACAAAAACAGCTAACGCCAACACGTAGGTCAGGTTGGTTCCTGAGCAAAAGGATTCGTGGTGCAAGCCTACCCAAACCAAGATGCATAGATACCAGGTTTTTTAACAGAAAAATAACCACTTGCAATGCACTTACAATAACAAATATTAAATGGGCCTAACACTAACATATACACATTATATAATTGTATGTGATCCAAATCATTTTCAGTGTTGTATTTGGCTTATACATTATGTACGAGTTTCTACAATATTCCGGCAAGCTCCAAAACATGCATCCATCCATCCATTTTCCAAACCGCTTATCCTACTGGGTCGCAGGGGGTCCGGAGTATATCCCAGAAGCTATAGGCACGAGGTGGGGAATAACCCAGGATGGGGGGCAGCTCCAAAACATTGTGATTTTAATGTTCACGACCTATTGCCTATAATCGAAACCGCAAAATGTTAAATTTGCGAATCCAGAGAAGCGACTGTAGTTGTTATCAGTTCTACTGAATTTGGATTCTCATCTAATCTAATGACCGAGGGGGAAAACTTTTTAGCTGACGATTTCAGTTGCATACGCAAGAAGGCGCAATTAGATTAGGGGGATCCTCCTCCCAGAAAAGAGAATAAAATGACACAATTTTCGGTAATTTGGCGGCTTTCTGTCATTTTCAAACAACTTCGAAATCTTTCCTCTGCGTCTTGTCCTGAAGATAAACGAAATGCTGTGTTTTGCCAACTATAACCAGTGATAGTAGTGGTAAAAACTTTCAGCTCACGGTGATGATACTCACAGAGATCTCTTTCAGTAATGTGAAACAGGATTCTATGCTATTACAAGTCGCGACTCGCCAGTGAGGCAGAAGGCTAAACAAGCAGATTGAGGGAAGGCTAACTTTGGTTGGTAGTAGCCAACTACCTTGCGAAGTAAACAAAACCTATGATTCTCAAATGCAATAGTGTATAAATAATTGCAATTAATTTTCACACACGTTTGAATAAAGGTTTCATGCTGATGCCCTACTATCTATCTATCGCTGTACAGCGGATCTTTGAGCGCGCGCTTACCAGCTCTCGCGAAATTTGGAAGAAACCAATAACATATGGAAGGGGGTGTGTGACCTTTAGACGTATATGATCTATACGACATAATAGAAGAATACGTTTGACTCATTGTATAAAATTATGATAAATACATATTATAAAAAAGTGATAAAATAAATTAAATATATATATGGAAAATCAGATCAAAAATCAGAGTGGCACGTGCCCCCTCAGCTTCAATGGGGATGACGTCATTGCCACCCCCATATTGTAAAAATAGTGACGCCCTTAGCTACAAGTAAATTGAAAGATGTTGCTAGCATAAATACAGTATTATCCATTAATCTAAAAGGATACAAATAATCATATAGATAGATAGATTGTACATTTTCCCTTTCATTAACACATCTATCACCACCTTTTGAGATCATATAGTGAATATTATTGTCCTTATAATCTCAAATAGAATGGGAATGCCTATAGCCATCAATCCACAAGATAAAGGACTATATTATTATATATTGCAAATAAATTTCAAGGTAGCCTGAATTAAATACGTTTAAGTAAGTGTTCTTACAAATTAGCAACACATTTACATGAAATCATCATAATTCTAAATAAGGTTCCAAAATTGATATACAATATTAAGGTTGTTTATTCATGTGTCTTTCTGTTGTTTTAGCAAATCTCTCGCAGAGTTGGCAGAAAGTCCGCACCGGACATTTGGACCAATGAAAGTCGTATACGTCAAACATGTATATCCCATAATGCTCCACTTCACGCTTCACGAAATTAATTTCTTTCCACGTTAAAATCCAAATATAATACCCACTCTGTCAATATTATGTGTAGTCAGCCCTGAACTATAATATTAGTACGATAATGTTAAAATTAAGGTAGTCACATTAATATAAAAAACCACACCGTGAATGCCTAGGTCTGATGGCAGATAGTCTTCCGTCTTCCGCGAGACGTTTGTTTAAAAAGGGCTTCTGCTATGACTGGCACGGGGGAGGAGTGGGTGATCGCTCCTTCCCTGCGGAATCGCTATCAAGAGATTTCGGAAGCATAATTTTTGTGGCACGGAGCTGCTGATGATCGTTTATCTCGGCGCTCCATTTTTCTGGTTTAAAGAGAGGTTTTTTTCTTAAATGAGAAAGTTTTCGCGGTCAGGGGTGTAATATCTCCTAAGAATGGACAGACGGAGTTACTACGTAGGAACGCTGGCGCGTTTAGTGTGCGTGTTGTCGCACCATGAGACGTCATGCCGAGGGCGAGCGAAATGAGGACGGAGGCGCGGTGTTTGATTCTTGTGCGGACTGGCGAGTGTCTCGCTTTTTGTAGGGTGGCGGCAGCCTCTTTTTCATGCCACTGATCAGTCTATATGTTCCGCTTTCCCTTTCTCAACATTTGACGGATTTAGCTTACATTATTCTGCAAGAGTAGACCATGGTTTATTGGACTTAATGTAGAACCATCGAGGTTTTGCATGAATGTAAGACTTAAATGTGTTGCCTGCAGGCAATTAAAATTGAAGAACCGAGCGTCGTTTACGTAACCTTTCTTTGCTGTCGCACTGCCCGCCCTAGCTAATGAATTGGACCTTAAAATGTCCAGAATTATGAAATAACTGTGTTAGCTAGTGAGGGGTTAAACATAAAATCACTTACTAATTTGGTTAAGTATATAATCACTTACTAATTTGGTTAAGCATACAATCACTTACTGATTGGGAAAGCATATATAATCACTTACTAACTTTATAAGAGTGTAGCTAATAAGTAATCATATAATATTTAGTAAGAACGTAGTTAATAGAGTAGTATCTAACATAATGAAGACAGTAGACATGGGAACCAATGTTAGGCCGGCAGGATGGGGTGATCTCACCCCATGCAGTTTGGAAAAATCAGGAACTGACAGTACGCGACCAGGTTAGGGTAACTCGTCCCAGATAGCAGGAAAAACAGGAACCCATGTTACAACGGACACTTATTTTCGCTTATGCTTAGCACATTTGGGGGAACATGCACACACTGACTAATCGGAACGAAAGTCAAAATATGTTGTGGTCACGTAGGTGGAAAGTACAGAGAAGGGGGGGGGGTGCTCCCAGATTGCAATCTGTTAGAGAATAAACTGTGACTTGTAACTACTCATCGACTGTGCTGTGAATCTCTTCTCATCAACGGACCCGGCGGAGCTCTGACTCCAACACTAATTAGCTAGCTTATTAACCCGTTCACTTTATGTCTATAACACCTGGTAGACAGGGTTGCCAATTCTCACGCATCTGGCATGACACTCACACAACAAATCGTACGGCAAGTGTATATTATTACATTATAAAACGTAGAATTGGCTACATCAAAAGCATCGGGATAGTTTGCAAACCCTACAGATTATTTACAAGGTAATTCAACTGTTACATGTAAATGAACGTGCAGACTTGTTTTGAACGGAAAATCTCACGCTAGCCAGCTGAAATAAGTTGGCAACGTTGTGCAATTGGTAAGTTCTGCATTTTGCATATTACACCATATTTTAAAGAAATAAAATGGCCACGTTTTGCGTGTTTAACTGACGAATCATTTGAACTGAGTTTTCTGACACCTTTTGCCAGTATCGTTGGACCCTGTCTTTCTACATTACGTTGCAAGCCATAACCATGCCTCATTAAGTATAACCTACGTGGGCGTCGTTAGGCGCAAGCTCCAGGACAGGTTAACTTGCCCCTGTGTTCTGACGTTATAATGTACCAATCGGTACAGCATACTCCCAATTAGAGCGCATACGTAGAATTGAATTACATAATTCTCTCCGCTAGCCCATGAATTTAGCAAGAAAATTCGACGGAAAGTAAGAGATTAATGCTTCACCGTTATTACGTGTAGTTATAGTTATAACTATGTACAAGTAGCATTTACTCAGTTTCTCTATTGTGAACTAGTACATAAATTAAACCCACCATTGCAAAAATATTCTAGCTTTCTCTCATACACATTCTTTTATTTTTTGTCCGTTTTGTTCGTCGTTTGTAATATTCCGAATAAAACCAATTTCAGACAACTACTGGAACAATGAGTACTGGAGGGGAGCAAGCTCATCCATCACATGCTATACATAAATAATAATAAATAATAATACATTTTATTTATAACGCACTTTTCATTAACAAAATCTCAAAGTGCCACATTAAAAAGAACAAAGTTAAAAACATCCATAAAATCTAAAAATATCACAACTACTAAATATGATATCTCAGCAGTTGTATGCTTTCCTACTGTAAATAAAAAAGTCTTCAAATTTACTTTGAAGGAGTCCAGGTTCTGTGTAACTCGCAGCTGGACAGGAAGACGGTTCCATAGCTGTGGGGCAACAGAGCAAAAAGCTCGACCTCCCATAGTACACAGCTTAGTAGAGGGAACTAGAAGTAGCATACTACCTGATGATCTGAGGATGCGGTTGGAGGTTTGCAAACTAATCAAATCTTGAAGATATGAAGGTGCCAGGCCAAAAATACATTTATGGGTTAACAGAAGAATTTTGTACTCGATCCGCGAAGAAACAGGGAGCCAATGAAGTGATTTGAGGATGGGAGTAATATGTTCAAATTTCCTTACTCTCAGTAGGATTCTTGCAGCGCTGTTTTGGATGTATTGTAACTTTTGTATGTCCTTAGCAGGAATCCTAGCAAAAAGTCCATTACAGTAATCATATGTTGCGCTTGATATTCATTTCCTTATCAAATTGTTACCATCGATAAAAACGACAGGGGTTCTGTACTGATAGCATGTATTTTCTTTTCAGAATGTTTTATCACCGTTCAAAACTAGGTATGATGTTCCGATAGTGTACATTTCCTTATTATAACGTATTTCCACCGTTAAAAATCATATAGATATTCTGATTGGGTACATTTATTAGGGCACATTACCTCTGTTCAAAACAGTTTATTCTGACTGTCCTTGTGGAAACAGTAACACAACACATAATGCTATTATTACATCTTTTTCTTTTTGTTTCTTTGGATACGAATCCTGTTCCAAACAATTCTGTAACTGTCCCATTTTACTCCCTCCTTTAACCGTAAACATGTTTTTTAAAGAATACCCAGAATTATTTCCTGGATAATTAAGAGGAAGTGCATTATATTCATTTGCAATCCTAATTAACTGCAATGTTACATTATTCTGTTCCATGAACTGAACATTAGAAAAAGACATAGCTAATCAGAAACATTTAAATAACAGTATAGTCCCTCAGGTGGAATGGTCTGACTACCTGATGCCCATACCTAGTAAGGACAGTGTCAGTCCCTCCAGTGTCCTCTGGAGCATGTGGGTGCGGTCACAGATCCATTTTGTCCTGTATCTGGTGCAGTGTGCGCTGTCCCAGCCTCCTGATCACAGATCCTTTTTGTCCTGTATCTGGTGCAGTGTGCGCTGTCCCAGCCTCCTGATCACAGATCCTTTTTGTCCTGTATCTGGTGCAGTGTGCGCTGTCCTAGCCTCCTGGTGTGTGGCATAGAGTGATGAGTCCTTGTCTTTTCTGAGGTTCGCCTCTTCCTCCTCAGGACCCCTCCTGTGTCCATTTTCACCTCATAGGATCTTGGATCCACCGGCATGATGACCGTTGCTTTCCTCCAAACTGTGTTGGGTTCTAACGGCTGAACCCTCACCCTGTCTCCCGGTTTCAAAACGTATATATCCTTTGCTGTCCTGTTGTAGTATCTGGCCTGTTGCTCCTGGTTGTCAGTCAGTCCTTGTGTCATCTGGGTAGGTAGTAGTGTCCCTGTTCTCCTGCTCAGAAGCCCTTGAGCTGGGCTCACATTTAGACCGTGGCTATTCCTTGGCTGGTGGCACCATTTGATCCTGAGTTTTATGAAAAACAACAATAATATAGCGGGATGCATTATTCGACATGCTGAGATTTGCATTTCCCTTTTTCAGAAATTTATACTGTTAAGTTAAAACTGCCTAAAACACATGCTGGTAAAACTAGTTGATTCTACAGTGTATAAAAAGAAAATGAAAGGGGGATGTGTCACGGTTGCGGAGAGGCAAGCAGGGAAGCAGGGGAACGGAGCCAGGAAGTCGGGTTGGACGGGGTTTATTTGAGGAAGACGGGACCGGGGAATCACAACAGGCAACATTACAATGACAAGTCTCGGGAAGACTGACTCAGACGAGGACTAAATACACAAGACAAGCTAGACTTAATAGGACACAGGCGATCACAATCAGGGCTGAACACGAGGTAACGAGGTGGGCGTGGCACACATTAGGATCGTACGGAGCAGGGTGTGACAGGATGCATTATTTGGCAAGTTTAATTTTATAGCTGCCGATATTTGCATCTCCCCTTTTTTAGTTTTTAGAGCAGGTTTGCTAGTTTTAGTTAGTTTTATTTTTTCCTAAATGCTTAGTTTTAGTTTATATTAGTCTTAGTATTAGTTTTCGTTTTTTCATGCTTTGAGTTATTTTTATCGTCGCCATTTTTCCAGGTAACGCGGCGAGCACAAGCCGACTGTAAACAAAAAGTGACGGACAGAGAGGAGCCGTACGGTGCCGCCAGCTGACGTAAAACTGCTAGAGCGAAATAAATCAATTTCATATCAATCCAAAAGACTTATAAATAAATCGACAAAGACGAAAACGAAGGACATTTCATCTATAATTTCAGTACGTTTTAGTTAGTTTTGTCAACGCACAATACAGTTTCAGTTAGTTATCGTTTTTTCTTTTAATTGTCGTTTTTATTTATTTAAGTTAACGAAAATGTTTTTTCAATTCTAGTTTTCGTTATTTAGTTCGTTTTCGTTGACGATAATAACCTTGCTAGAAATGCATCACCGCCCAATTGATGCCCCCTCAGTAGGTGTCCCCCTAGGAACGCATTATTGCCCAATCGGCGCCCTCTCAGTAGGTGGCACACTAGGCTGTTGCTTGGGTTGGCAGGCACTCATAGAAGGCAATAATGTGGTACTATTGCTTTAACAATAATAATAAAAAACATTTTAGCACAAAGTTTGTATGGGCCCCAGAGTTTTAGATACTATCAAACTGATTTATTAACGTAGTAACCAAAGTGTGACATGCTGCGAGACACACACAAGCACTTCCTTTTAGTCTGACCCAGAGTGTCCCTGCTGTCAGCAAAAAATTCCCCTGGCAGCTGGTGTTGGCGAACGCACAGGTCACCTTATCCATGGCGGACATAGTGGTGGTTAAGACGGCTGAAGAGGAAGACAGGGACGGGGGTGAACCCAGCACCCAGGTCATTCTTCAGCTGCAGATCATCCCACACGCGTGAGATGGCACCTCAGTGATGGAGAGCCCAGGTTATGGAGAGAGATGCAGAGCCCTCAGTGCCCCCCGGAAACATAGCACTCTAAATGAATGTGATGCTGCACCTCTTAGACATACAGAGCAGCTGGTGATAGGAGCGTTAATAGACTGACATGATTAATTTATTGAATTGATTACCTGACTGATTTGTCTTTGAATGATAAATCAGCTTGATTTACTGGCCAGTTGATGGACGCTCATTCTTTGTTGATTATATATAGACATAGTGGTGCTAAGCGGATTAGCCCTGGTGTTAGGATTGCTGAACATAGTGAAAAGGACCCTGCAGAAGCAGCTCCAGCAAACAGCTTCGAGTCAGGTGGCTCACACTGCTAGAAGCTGGCTGGCCTTCACATGTCACTGTGTGCTAAGTCTTCCTTAGCAGTTTGTACTATATTCTGTTTGACGCAGTAGTAAATACTGTGTTTAAATATTGACCTCTGACAGGCCTGGCAGAGCAGCTGGAAGAGCAGAAGAAGCAGACACCTGATTGGCTGGCTTACTCCCAGATGCATGAATCACTGGCTCGCTCCCAGGTTCCTGATTGGCTGGCTCGTTCCCAGACGTGGCAGAATGTTGCACTGGCATCGTTGGCCACTGTTTCTGAGCCACCTGGCAAGCACACATCTTCGGCCTGTGTACTCAGCACAGTCCCCCCCCCCCCCCTCACTGTCCTGTCCCCTGTGGTGCCTCTGGGCCAGCTGGCCAGCATCCTCACACTGCAGCACACTGGCCTCCGGCTGCTCGGTGCTACTTCAGTACAGGAGCCTCCCCAGCTTGGGGTGCTGGTGAACTGCATGGAGCTGGTGTAACTGGCTACAGGCAGAGCGGGTGGTGGGCATGCAGAAGGGGTGAAGCTTGAAGCAGAGGTGCTGGGCATGGAGGAGGGGCAGGACGGGGGCTTGTACACACTATGGTGATCATGATCGACCCAGCTCCAGGGGATCACGCAGTGGGAGCAGTGGAGCTCCGACTGGGAGGGCAACCAGCTGGCAGACATGTAGGTTCTATGTAGGTGCTAGTGCAGGGTCAGATGGAAGTAGTCGGCTCAGTCGAGGATGCATCTGGGCTGCTAGTGCATGGGGAGATAATGCAAGTAGAAGACATGGATAGGGGAGCCTGATTGGTCCTCCATGGGGTCTGGAAGCAGTGGGGTGACTGCACCATGTGCAGCTCGTGGTCATAGAGGAAGAGCAGCATGGCCAGTCAGAGCTGGCCAGGTGAGACGCGCTGGGAGAGGAGGAGCCGTCCATGTGAAGAAGGTCACAGAGTCATAGAGAGAAAGAACAAGGGCTGGAATACGAAGGAGGGAGTGCAGTAACACGCACCGAGCTGCTGTGTGGCAGAAATGTACCCAAGTTGCTCCCCCACTGCCAGCTGCATTCTCAGTAACCCTTTCTAATCTTGTTGAGTTATACAACCTTTTAATAATGCTTTGCAAAAATTTGTTGGACCTTTTTGTGTAACTTTGATAGACATGAAGCCACGAAGCCTCCCTTTCTCTCTGAAGAATGTAGCAAGTTGATAATGAGGAAATACTTCTGTCATGTGAGCAGGTTTGGAGGAGAAGGGGCAGACTTACCATCCCGCAGCTGCCTGGTCCTGTTCAGAAGGGCGTTAGGAGCCTGATGTCCAGAGAGGCTTGATCGAACACTCTCACAATCTACAGCCCAAGATCAGGCCATCTTTTGAAGCTGGCTTTTCAAGGCAGAATTGCTGCATGCTTTGGCATATAAATATTGCTTTGGCAGTACTGTTCTCTTGCTGATTGCTGTAAAAACAAAAAGCAAAAATACATAATTATCTCTGTTCATTAAAAAACTAATGAATCCTTCCATGCACTGACCTTGATATGATCAGCATTCCTATGCAGTCTTCTCTGAAATGTGTTTTATGCTTTTTTATGCATAAATAGTTTCTTCTGAATATACTGTATGTATAACACTGAAGACGTCATAAATTGGATGAGATCTGTAAAGAGGATAATCCAAATTCAGTTTGTGGTATTTTTATGCTATAAACACAAAGCACAAACAGAAAGAACCATTCTCCCCATTTCTGTGAAATCTTTACAGCTGGGGTGTCTGATTCAAAGCACAGTGGGTGAGTTTAACTGGCTTGCTTGGTCCATGTATGGGTTTTTAATGTAACGACAGTTTCAATTTATTTATGTTGTTTGTAATTTTAAAGAAGTCAAATAACAAGCAAACTAACGTATTCTTATTAGAATTTGGGGGCCCAGCATGAAGTATATCTTTGGGGGCTTTTGGTGTAGCAAGGGGCCGAATGGGATCCCAAGGGGGGCGAAGGGGATGTTTTGTCAGCAGCCCAGAATTTTTTGCTCTGCCCCTGACTGTCCATATGACATTATTCATGTGGCAGCTGATGGCAGGTCTGAAATGGTCATGAGAAGTCAGGATTGTCACATCCCTTATCTTTGGAGCTGAGATGATAAGCACAGACTTGGTGGGAAACTTCTGGAAAAGTGCTTATTTCTCCACCAAGTGGCAGATATTGCCATGGATTTCCATCACAGCCTGAATAACTGTAAATCAGGTCCAGTAAATGGTTTCTGACTAGATGATGCCAACCCCCTTAGAGGGATTTGTTAGTGTCTGTAAAATCTGCTACAAAACATTAGAGCCCAAAGCAATGCAATAAAAATCACTAAATGTTTAGGGAATGTGACTGCAAATGGGACCACCAGGTGGCAGCACAGAGCCTTTTTGTGTTAGTGGGCTGTCTGGGTTTCACAGTCAGATGAGGGGTCTTGGAGCCTGATTGTTATAGTTTTGCCTTTGCTGGGGCTGACCTGTGACCTGTGAGTAAGTGCTGAGCCTGAAGGGACATTAATGCGGGTTGGTATCATGGCCACTCCAGGGCCAATTAAGGGAGGCTACATTTTTGCTATAATCAGAATTAAGGATGTGCTGGTGGCAGCTATTTGATGCATATGAAGGCCATACACATGGCTGTGTATTTTCGGGGTAGCGCATCTGAGGCTGGTGAGAAGAATATAAGAGCAGATTTTCTTGGGATAAGTCTTCTTCTGCCTGCTTTCTATATTTTGTTATTTTAGTCTCCTCCCCATTCTGGGGTGCAAGAAACTTCTCCTCAGATCTGAGTTGTGAAAGATGAGGAAGAAAGTAATCACTCTAATTATGTGAAAACAGACTGAAGGAAGATGCAAGATAAGAATCTCCACATAAATGTACTTCCAACTGCTTATTAAAATATGGGAGATTCATTGCCAGTAGGAAAAGGAAACGCTTCTCCGTGCAGGAGATGACAATCATATAGCTGCCTGGAGCAGGAGACAGGGAGCAGAATGAATCCAAGGCAGATGGTGCATTGAAGTGTGTCATTTCTGCTCTTGTGACTTTGCTCTTTCTATCACACTGAGGTGAGACGCTGCTTTGCCATCTCTGCGACCAAAGCTCTAGTCTTGTCTGCCGTTTATAACATGAAGGGGAGACCACACACAGAAAGTCTTTAACCACTTTTAACCACAGAGACTTCACATAGAAAGCCTTTAACCACCTTATTAACTACTTAAAGATAACAGACATCATTATGAAAGTGTTAAGAGGAATATTGGTCAGGTAACAGCCAGGATACAGCCAAGTTATACAAGTTATACAAGCCAAAAAACGAATGGGGTTTTCTGGGAGACCCTGCCGGGGATGAGTGCTCCCCTGAGGGATGGATTGGTTGCTGTAGGGCAGGGTTATTCAACTCACGGTCCTCGAGGTCCGAGCACTGCTGGTTTTCCAGCCTTCCTTTACCTGTCAGTCAGGTGTGAAGCCTCTGACCAATCAGAATCAGTAATTATTAAACAACTACCTGGGAGAACTGAAAACACGGCCTGGATTTGGAATCGAGGTCCAGAGTTGAAGAACCCTGCTGTAGGGAGACTTACCTGTTTTTACTGTTTGCAGCTTTTATCTGGCCTAATCCCTGTTTGAGATACATCATGATTAGGGGGGGAGACACGTCATGGTTAGGGGGGGAGATACGGCATGGTTGGGGGGGAGACACGTCATGGTTAGAGGGGGAGATACGGCATGGTTAGGGGGGGAGACACGTCATGGTTAGGGGGGGAGATATGTCATGGTCAACACGGCCATTATAATAACAATTTAAACAGTTTATTAAACCGACCAAACAAAATTCTTGTTTGATGGTTGTTATTACTAAACATCACCACATGGCGGCGAGCTTGGACTGCACATGACCGCCTTCGAGCTGGTGGGAAACACAAGTCGGCGTGCAGAAATTCGGCGTTTCACCTGTTCATACTGACGTCACTCACGGCGAACGGCTCGCGCGCTGCTCGCTGAGCCTCACGCGCTGAGTCCTGACTTGGCTCTTGCAGAAACGCGGGAATCAAAGGGAGCCGGTAAGGAGGCTGCGAGCCATCAGCCCGAAGCACTGCTGTCATTTCTGCTGACCAGCCTAACGGGACATAACATTAAAGATGCAGTCGGGCGCCTTTTTAGTGATGCTGGCTATTCAAGTCTACGCTGATGGCACCGAAGGGCCAACAGGTAAAAAAATGAGGTTAAGTTAGCGCACCCTTAGGAAGTTGCCGCAGTTTCGAGCCGACTATGTTTCCGTTTCGTTTAGCCAGAACCAGTTTTCCCCTGCTTCAGCTGTTTGTACTGGTTTACCTGTGAAATATTTTCCGTTTTGTTTATCATTGCGCTAGAAAGTGGCCCAGATGTTTTCGCTGGGTTATTTAAACTCTCATCCATAGTCATTGCGCTCACAGTTAATGGAATATGAACACAAACGAATTGTTGTTTTTCTTTGTAGTTCATATGGATTTTAAAAAGAATTGCTTTGGCTTATAAGTGCCTCTTTTCGGTGTTTTTGAGAGCCAGCGCTGTACGGCTTCGGTCCGTCGTGTCCTTATTTTGCTGTCATGTAAAATCGTGTAGAAATATATATTTTTAATCTCATTGAGTAAGACGTCGGGTTTATAATCTGAATAGTGGATCTGATGTTCTGAGGTGGCGCAGCTGTTACCTGTGGGCCATGGAGGATCGCTTTGTGCGCAGGCTTTACCTGCGTCTTCTTGCCCGTTGGGATTCTTTATAAAAATCACTCAATTCCAGTCTGTAGGTGACGCTCAATTTACTCAAGTATTTTATCATTTGAATAAATATAATGATTGCTATTCAATGATAATCTTAAATTTCAACGTGGACTTTATTAAATAACCTGGAATTCGTCGACCATGGCTTTATTAATGAAAAGTTAACACATTTAGATTATTGTTTATATATTGTTTTGGTACTAAGGAATGTGTTATGGAATAATGCAGCACTTTCCATTTTATTTTTCTGTGTTAATACAATGCATCTGTAGAAATATCTAACCTGTTTAAAATTTGTAAGGGCATACTCAGTGATCGCCTGCGGCGGTTTAAAGAGCTCGCCTTATATAAATCGTTAAGGGATGGAAGCTCTCGGACGCTATCCATACTCGTAGCTTGGAAGTTTAAGGATAGTTAAACATCCAGTTATTTATATGACTGAATTCAACTGATCCAGGTACAACAGCGGGAATAACATGCGGAGACGTGTGAAATGAAAGTGCTGCACTTACGGAGCAGGGTCCCTCGATGCCGCAAAATCGTGCGGATTTCTGTTTCCTCCACGTAACAGATAAACGGCATTGTCTAGTTCGTTCAATTTGTAGAATTTGATTCGTAAACCTCAACCCATTCAAAATAAACAAGGGTTTAAGATTATTTTAATATAGAGATACTGAGATGTCGGAATATGTTTATTTGGCATCGGTTCTGTAAGTTTAATCTTTTCTACACAGTTGATTCGTTGCCAGTGCTTATGCTAGAACCAGCTGCTATAAAATAATCACGTCGCAGTTTTATTTTAAAAATAAACCTGTACCTGGAAATTTGCGCTAATAATCATCTTGGTTAAATACCCATAAAGAAAACGGTGTAAGCAATTGTAAATGTAATCCAACGAACCCCTGAAGGTACACTGTTCTTAAGACTTAATGCTGTATTTAGTGTCAGGGAAGTTTCTAATGAAATGCTTTGATATTTGCAAGGGTGATTTGTGTTCTCACAACGATCCTCCTCGCCCGACACAGACGTCCTGAAGCTCTGCTGCTCGCTCGGCTGTGAACTGCCGTCCTTCATCATAACAGACTGCCGCTAGGCGAACGGGGCTCCCGCCCTAGACGGAGCGCACAGCAGTAGTTCGCCTCCGTCTCGCCGATCCAGTCGGAGGCACTGCGGGCGCGCCTCTGCGCGCTCTTGCGCGCGCCCAGTGCCCTAAGAACTACGCGGTAATTGATTCGGCGAGACATGTCCACGCGCTTGTTGTCGACCAGCGCGGAGCCCCACTTTCTCTGTCAGTCAAACTCAGCCACACACACACTATAAATAGCAGATCTTAGAAAATCCTAAGTTATTATTATCCATATGAATTGCATTTTTTGTTTCGCATTGGGTCGATGGTTAGCACTGCAACCTCGCACCATTGGAACCTGGGTTCAAGCCCCCTCCAGGGTTCCATGTGTTTGGAGTTTGCATGTTTGTCCTGTGTCGTCGTGGGGTTTCCTCTGGGTACTTCAGTGTCTCCCCCCCATCCAAACAGGCTGGAGCTAATTAGAGTTACCAAGTTGCCCATAAGTGTGAGTGACTGGTGTGTGAGTGTGCCCTGCAATGGGTTGGTCGCCCCATCCTGGGTTGTTCCCTGCCTTATGCCTGTAGCCTCCAGGATAGGCTCCGGGCCCCCCACTATCCTGAATAGGACAAGCGGCTATAGAAATTGGATGCATGTTTTGCCTTAATGTAATGCCTTGATTCAGTAACAGTGAAGAAAAAAGATAAGCGTGTTTCTCTGAACAATTAATGAAGTTCTCACAGAGAATGTTTCTAAACATTTCTATTTTGATATAATCTCAAATGTAGTATTACTACATCACGTATGTCAGTGTGGGTTCTGTTCACAATATAGCCTTGTTTCTTATCCATTCTGTACTTTTCTGTGATTTGAGATTTGTTGTTTAGATGGAAGCTGGTTGCTCGACTATGGATTGTTACTGGTGGGGTAACTGCCTTGGGGAGTCTCTTAGCAGGGGGGAGTGTTTTTCCTGCTTCCCGCCGGGCCTCTGTGGTCCCCACCTTGCCACCTTTGTACTTTAATTCTGGAAGACTTTCACTGAATCACCAGTAAAGTGGTGAAGTCATTTTAAGCACTCTTGGGGCATACTGTGTGAAGCCATTTCAACACTTATTCTATTAGGGGAGGATGAAAAATGAAACAGGGGTTAAGATGGCAGATGCAAGGAGTAGAGGGAAGTTGATTTGATTTCTTTTTAGTATAAAACATTTCCAGAAGTCAAAGACCAGGGAAAATGTGTTGCAAATGTCACCCAGCAGAAAAACAGGAAGAGAGCACAGGATTCCAGTTCTCAGTTTCTGCGAAAATAAACCATATTACATCTAAATTCACGTGTTATACGCTATCTTTGGCATCTACGAATGCAAGCCTGCCAGTCTCTTTCCGAGGGTTATAGCAGAAAAGGACCCAGGAAAGATGTGAGCATGGCTCTTTGGCAGACACATGGCAGCATGGGCAATGCAAGCCCCCTGCATGCCCTCTGCAACAGGGACACAGTCAGTGCGCTGGGCATGCTGCATGAATAGCCTGATCCTGCGCTTGGAGCCCAGGCTTCACTGTCAGCTGTATATGCATGTGAGTGTCTCAAAGGAGAGCATGATGGGATATGCAAAAAGAAGCACTCCAGTGTGACTGTACTTGCATGTCAACTAATGGCAAATAAAGCATCGTTTCATTTTAATGTCACAGTAAGGTGTTCATTTTGGATATGTGCAGAACACCCAATGTCTTTAACCTCTGAAAAAAATGTCATTTTCTGCAGTCGTCCAATTGTCATGTGATCTTGAGGTGATATTTAACTACATATACCTTGTGATTTTTATACATGATGGCCATGTTTGCTGAATATGATTTCCCATGCAGGTCTTTGTGTTGGCATGTGGGATGCGTGTAGAACCCATTACCCTGACAGGTAGAGTATGGAGCTAGAATTAGCGCTGTAGCAGGACTGTAGCTCATGTAGCTAACGTGTGAGTCTGTGTGAGTCTGTCCTTACTCATGACTTGCTGTATGGGCATCATCTCCCTGTGTGCAAATAAGTACACATGAAGTATATGGAATATTTTTTATGTATTTGTTTCTGAGGTACATCACACGATGTGCTAGGCCTTTTGGGATTTACCTCTCATTGTTCAAAGAATGAATATTAAATGTTTATCCCATTGAAATGATACTGCCATCTCAAGCAGTGTCCTGTAATATGTCCAGTGTATATCTGTGCTTGTATGTTAGTTCAGGTGTGCATAGCATGTCTGTGTACTCTTGGACCTAGTGGAAGTGATCTACCTGTCCTACTGTTTATCTCTGTTATCTTTAGAACTTGTTCTGCCCTTATCACAGCTGATGTTTCTTTGTTCTGCCGAATGACTAAATAGAAATGAGCTTCACTAACAGCTGCGTTTGGTCTTGGTGCTCATGTGGGAGCACAGGAAAGCCAGAGCTCCTCCTCCCATGTCCCTCTTTGTCACTGGCTGTGTAGTGTTTTGATCTCTATGTTTCACTTATGGTTTATGCACAGCCATTTCCTGTCTGTGTCAGAAAGCGGCTGTCTGAGATACAGCCACATCAAAACCATCATACAGCCGCTATTTTCCAGGTGCATGTTGCCACTGTGGAGGAGCACAGCCCTCATCCCAGGTGTGAGCTAGTCAGTGCTCTGCTGAGCTCTGCCATCTGCCTGGCAGGGCCAGCTGAAATGCCATTACCTTGTAGATCTGCAGCTGCGGCGGGTGGCCGTCAGCCCAAGAATGCAGCTGGAGGAAGAAGATCGTCTTGTGAACCATAACCATAGCAACGTTGCCCCCTTCTTACCTGAATTCCCCTACTGCAGATGTCTGGCTGGAGAATTTGTAAGATGAAAAATGTCAGGACTGGCAGCAGCAGTCTGTTTAAGATACACGTTATGTAAAGTGTTCAGCTTTGAGACAGCAATGCTTTGATGGTCATACAGAGATAAATATATTAATAAATAAGCACTAGAAGACAGATGGCTTGACTGGTCACTGTGGACCCGGGGCGGGTAGTGTTATTGATTTTAGCTCAGCAAGCTGTCGGAAGCTGCTAATCTGTTCTCTCCGTGACCCTCCTTTCTGGGGATCTGTCTCATGTGCTGCCACCGCTAGGTTTTGTCCACATGTCCTGCCTAGTTTGCTCTTCAGGCACAGTTCCAGGTAGGGCTGGGCAATTAATCGAATTTTAATTTCAATTACGATTTTGGCTTCCAGCGGTTATCAAAACGATCGTGATACATTGATTGTGCCACAGTTAATTTTGCAATTATGCTCCTGTATTGTCTTCTGTAATCAGCCCAGTATACCCCTTTCTATCCCCTTATTCTTTTTTTCTCAGTTGAATTATATTTAGAGTTCAAGGAAATCCACTGTTAA